CTAATGTAGGCTTCCTTTAACTTTTTCGCAATTTAGGCTTCCTTTAACTCTTCGTCAATGTAGGCTTCCTTTACTCTTCGTCTAATGTAGCTTCCTTTAACTCTTCGTCTAATGTAGGCTTCCTTTAACTCTTCGTCTAATGTAGGCTTCCTTTAACTCTTCGTCTAATGTAGGCTTCCTTTAACTCTTCGTATAATGTAGGCTTCCTTTAACTCTTCGTCTAATGTAGGCTTCCTTTAACTCTTCGTCTAATGTAGGCTTCCTTTAACTCTTCATCTAATGTAGGCTTCCTTTAACTCTTCGTGTAATGTAGGCTTCCTTTAACTCTTCATCTAATGTAGGCTTCCTTTAACTCTTCATCTAATGTAGGCTTCCTTTAACTCTTCGTCTAATGTAGGCTTCCTTTAACTCTTCGTGTAATGTAGGCTTCCTTTAACTCTTCGTGTGCTACCTCATAATTAGTAAGCTTGGCTCTGTGATCCTACAAGTTAAAGGAACAACTGTCACAAACATCCTGGGATATGGAAGATTGTCACAATTATCCATAGACGTCTTGGAAGGACAATTTATATCTACAACTTCCCACGAGGAAGAACTGGTTTTTGCATTTACCTCACCTAATAAATGATAATTGTTCTCTATTATATTTTAAAATGAAGATTTTTAACAAAATGTTTAACTTTTTAATACTCTAGTCTCTAGAGACTTACCATTTTTCATGGATTGTTTTTTCTCTTAGTCAATTATCCAACAACTAAAATTATTATTATAATCAAAACCAAGCACTAAACCCACAAGGGTTATACAGCGCTGCCTAACAACTATAAGCAGGGGTTGAATAATAACGCAATAGTGCCCAAGAAACAGGAAATATGCTTATTCTAATAAAGAGGCAGATACCGGGAGCCAAATGGTAGGAAAGTGGCTGGTAATGCCAAGTGTTGTTGTGTACGGCGATTGTTAAGGGATATCTGGGGAAGTTATGGTAATGTACTCCTAGTAATTTGATGAGTAAAATTATAATGTGTCTTCGCGACTCTCAGAAAACTTCTGTGGATTTATGAAAACAGTTTAACATCATACATATATATGAGCGTGAATGATCAATAAATTGGCATTATCCCAGCGTCCGACTCCTCTGAGTAGCAGTTCCGGATTCACGGCCTCCTACCTTCTCGAGTCACCAGGGAGAACGCCTAAGTGTTGCAAATGTGTGGAATAGTTTTTTTTTAAGGCTGTTATCCCCCATGATGATGATAATAATAATAATAATAATAATAATAATAATAATAATAATAATAATAATAATAATAATAATAATAATAATAATAATTTAAGGCTGTTAGGATTTCTTATGAATGATACTCAGGTTTGGATATGTAGGAGGGAGGTGGAGCATTTAAAAGTAAAAATAGGATTTATTGAAGTACTATATGAAGCTACTGTGGTTATTTAATGTGTTCCAGAAGGGGACACTGCAGAAGATATATATATGTCGTGCCGAATAGGTAAAATGACTCAACTAGCAAGAACTCATTTAAAATTAAGTCTTTTCTAAAATTTTCTCTTAAACGTTTAAAGATATATTTTTTCATTTATGTAATGTAAAAATTAATAGTTTTGTACCAAAAGAACCTTAGAAAACTTACCTGAACCTAACGAAAAAAAATACATTTCATTGTGTTTGTTTATTATTAAATTATTGTAAAAGTATCTAAAATATATTTAGTTGGGTTAAGCTAAAATAAATTGTTCTTGTTATAATAAGGTTAAGTAAGTTTTCTAAGATTCTTTTGGTGCAAAATTATAAATTTTTACATTAACATCAATGAAAAAAATATATCTTTAAACGTATAAGAGAAAATTTTAGAAAAGACTTAATTTTAAATGAGTTCTTGCTAATTGACCAGTTTTACCTATTAGGCAAAACACACACACCACACACACACACACACACACACACAACTCACACTCACACCACACACCCACACACACACACAATCACACACACACACACACCACCACCACACACACACACACCCCTCTCTCCTCTCACAACACACACCACACACCCCACACACAACACTCACACATACACACACTAAAACACACACACACACACACACACACACCACACACACACACACACACACACACACACACACAACACACAATATATTATATATATATATATATATAAATAAATATATATTATAAAATATATATATATATATATATATATATTATATATATACAAGATTGATGAAAACTTACCCATATTTGGCAATCGTTGAAATCCACTTTTCGAGCGGTGAATTAGTCATTTTGGGGAAATTCTTCTTTGGATCAATCTTATATTACCATCATGACGTTTAGAAAATTTTAAAAGGGCCCTTCCAAATACTTTTCTCGTCTGAAGGAGAAAGTCGATTCATTTCCATTGAATTCTTAGGTATAGTACCTGAGCCTTGATCTTTCAGTTCCCACAAAATTAAAATTTCCCAGACGAGATCTTTCACGTCATTGTTGTGAGAAACCGAGGAGGAAACAAGTGATCAAATTCCCAGCGTTGTGCTATTTAAATTATTGGAGGATCACCGACGAAACTGTTGGCATTTTAAACCCAGAGAACAGTCTTCTTCGTAGAGAAATCAGAAGTTGTTACAGCATTACACTCTGTTCCTTGGGATTACAATCACCATTATTACAAGTAAATTCAGAATTATTACAGGCAGAGAGGACAGCAAAATCATCGTATTTCACGGTAATCACAAAGCTCTGCACCAATTGTCCAATTGTTTTTACCAAGTGGATTGATTTTACAGATGGTAATGACACAGTTGCAAAACTTTCATTCGTTACGAAAATTTTTAAATTCCCCAAATTCTCGGTTTAGACATGTATATCATAAATCCATAATATCCGTGAAAATATGGTTTTCCATTGACGTAGCCAAGAATTTCGTAAAAGGTTTCCCTTTCCCGTTTTAGACATAAACCTCTCAACCGAAGAGTGCGGTTTAGGTTCTTGATGCATGGTACGCAGGTCTCGTAGTCTAATGAACACATTGCATCATTGAGAAGTCCATTATCTCGGTTCATATAGGCACAATTCTCAGTCGTGTTTCCGTTGGGCTGTCTATGATTAAACTGTACCTCTTTAACTGTTTCATTGTTAGAAATCTTCCGCCATACTCCTTCCTCGTCTTCATCTGTTAATCCGACCCAGAGGATAAGACCTGATGTGCACACGTCTTTAAATAGTGAAGATTTGTTGAACAGTTGTGTGTTTTCATCACGTGATGATGGACCAAACATGTCACTGCCGAGTCGCTGACACAAAATAAGAGATTCTTTGTGATTTCGATTCTCAGGGAAGATAACAAAGTCATTTGTTTTCTGGCACAATATGGAGAGCTTTTCTTGCGAGACAGTTGCACCAAATACTTCAACTTCATCCGTATCTGAGGAAAAGACATTCCCACTACCAAGCTTTCTACACTTTGCTATCTCCTCTACTTCAGTCTGATTTAAACTCCTGTTCCAGATGTTGACCTGAGCGATATGACCACGGAATACCTGATCCTTTTCAAAGCCACCTCCTAACGTGTCTTGGTCTTGACCCAGGATAAGGGTAGAATTGAGTGAAAGCAATACTTCCTCCGTTCTCAGTGGCCCTTGTATGAACTCAGCGCCATCAACGAAGGCTCGGTAATGTCCCAAAGTGAAGATGTGACAATAATGACTCCACTGATGGAGCAACAATTCTGTCTTGAAGTCCGGAAACCCTTGTTGGAGGAATTCATTGTAATAGATATTGATCTCCTCGCCTCGTCGAACTGGAGAAAATATTAAAAGTTTATTGTAACATACTGCATCTTTATATTAACTCTTTTTTATAATTAATTTATAATAAACTCTTCTTAGGATTAATATTTATAATAATTTCATACATACATTCATATGTACGTTTGCACACTTTTATGTACATAAATACATACATTAGAACTTAATAAAAGAATAGCAGCACAGTAGACAACCTGCCCTCAACTATTTGTCTAACCTGATTTTATAGTTACCTAAAATATTTTTTTCATTAACACTGTTTAGTTTAGGTTAGTTATGTTAGGCTAGTTAGGTTAGGTTAGATTAGTTTTATATGTTAGGTTAAGGTAAGATAGGCTAGGTTACCATACCACGGGCGGGATTGAACCCGCGGTCAAAGAGTCTCAAAACTCCAGACCTTCGCGTTAGCCACTGGACCAGCTAGCCACAATAAGATTCATCCAACTAGGTTATTCTATGGATTGTGGGAAATAGCACAATAAGATTCGTTCCAACTAGGTATATTTCTATGGTTAGAAATAACCATTGGACGAATCTTATTGTGGTCTACCTGTCCAGTGGCTAACGCGAAGGTCTGAGTTTGAGACTCTCTGACCGCGGTTCAACCCCCGGTAGTATGGTTTGCTTGTACGTGTCATTAACGATTTCGTGAGTCACGATAGGTTAGGTAGGTTAAGAAGTTGGATTAGTTTTATATGTTTGGTTAGGTTAGTTTCAGGTTGGGTTAGGATAGGTTAAGTTAGGTTAGGTTAGGTTGGTTTCTTATTCCTTTTGTAAATTTGAGTTTATCTAGTTTGAATGTTCTGTTGCAAGTACTGCATCTTTTTTTAAAATATCTTCAGCACCATTTTCATTATTCTTCTGTATTCCCACGATTATAAATCTTTTGTTCTTCTCGTATATGTTTATCTTCCTCTTCTCTTTGTTAAATTCTGCTTGTAATTGACGACAAAGTTGCTTTTAACATCCAGAAGACATCGCTGATAATCGTCTAAGCATTTAACTCACTGTTTAGAAGGCTGAGGAAGCTTTTATTTGAACTTTTCAAAATGTGTTCAAATGTGGCTATTTCAGAATAAATCAAGAGTAATTTGAGTTCCTAAGATAAAGATTAAAAACTAGAGTTCATGATAATTTTAAAGTATGTACTTATGCAAAAGCTTCCTGCTATCACTGCCTCATAGAGGCAATGATAGCAGGAGGAAAAGGTTCATGAGGGAAGTATTGAGAAGGGATTCCAAATGATATTTTCTTTTATGTATACAGTGGCGATTTTATTATGTTTACTACTGTTGAAAATGGTATAAAACACCGACAAGTTGAAGATTAAGACACATGTGCAACAGTTGAGTATGTTTATTAATGAAAAGTTTCACCTACACAGTAGACTTCTTCAGTCAAATATTGAGGAAGCTGGAGATGTAAAATAAATAAAGATTTAATCAGTCCATCAAGCTTAGAGAAAAAGGATTTGAGGTGGTCAGTCCCTCGGCCTGGAGAAGGGTTCAACTCCATAATCTGGACCGATATGAAACTGAATCAAGAGAACGGTGTCTTAATACTGTCAAAGGTTGAGTGGAAGGTCTCAAAGACGTTGTAAGGGACGGGATGCAGTAGTGGAAGTAAGATGACAGGTCCCTCTAGAGTCCAACCCTTCTCACTCATAGCTAGTATATACGCGATGAAGAATGAAAGATGTTCACTTTACCAAGATACTGTTGTGCTGCAGTGTCTGACAGTGTTGTTGAAAATGGTATAAAATACCGACAAATTGAAGAGTAAGACTGACCACCTCAGATCCTTTTTCTCCAAGGTTGATGGACTGATTACATCATCTTTATTTCACTACTACGCCTGCTTTCACTGTATTTAACTGAAGAAGCCTACTGTGTAGGCGAAACGTCCCATCAATAAAGACACCCGACCGTTGCACATGTGTCTTAATCATCAGGTTTATTACTGTTTATACAAGGATATATCTTGGGTAAACGCAACATCCCAAATTCGCTAGCTTGGAGAACGGCCTGAGACCAGCCTCATGCCAGTTGACGTCGTGTGAAGGTAGGCTGCACACACCAGTCTTGGCTGAAGTGCTAATAACCTCGTAGCTGAAGCAACTTAAACAAGAAAGAAATGAAGTCTGGGTTAAGCCATTAATTACCCCGTGAAGGTCGCAGCTCTACTTTTAACACTACCTTCATCTTGTTCACCTCTGCCCTACCAATATGATAAACTGCAACTTGATGGATGGTGAAGCAAGCTGAAACTAAATCCATCTTGTGGCTTGTGAATTTCTGCACTCACAGAGGTTATATGGCATAAGGGTGAAGACGTGTTAATAGTGTGTACCAACACTCAGACTCTCATTGGCAGTGGTTTGGCTCCTGCCCAATATTCTGGTGGATATTTACGCTTTACCGTAGTAAAAGTTCATAAAGTATTGCTGAGCCTGATTTCAAAACAATTATTATTCTTGTGGTCTCTCATGGTTGCTGCTACTTCTTGGGATGTACAGTTTCTTCTGTTGTGATAGTTGTATTCAGACGTGTCATGCCATTTTGAAAGCAGAAACTTCATGTCTCTAATTATATGCCTTGAAGATCCAGGTAGAACTACTTGGTTTAATGTTTTATGGGCCTTACCTCATCACATATGCGAAGGTTTTGGGTGTACTTATATTGGACTATAAGAAATGTGCTTAGTCTTTAGCGTCCTCATTATTATTATAATCAAGGATTATGCAGCGCCTGTGGGGGGGGGTTTAAGGTATTCAGGGTCAATTCAGGTAACCGGAGCACAGATCCTATTCCCTAGATCAAGAGCCCTTCACCAGCATCAAGGAACTTTCCTTGAGGGGTGTAGCGTCCTCAGCTCACATACTGAGGATCCGGGATCGGTCCCCGGCACGGGTAAAAAGATGGGAATGTACTTTGTAGAAATGAAGATTATTTTTATTATCATCATTATTATTATAGATACCTAGCCTTTAATATAAGATTAAAATGAATTTTACGGAATATAATGCTTCATGAGGTGTGGCAAAGAACCAAAAATACTCACAAACAAGGATAACGTTGGCTATGATGTCGTTGACCGCCAGGGAGACGTGTGGCTCCCGGGAGGAGAAGCTGGAGGGTCTGATGCGGTAACACACACTCACTTCTCCAGAGTCCTGGTACGTCTGTCAGAGGTATGTATGGAAAATTTTGTTCCTAATTTTTCAAAATTATAATGTATAATTTTCTATGATGTAAATAAGTGTAAACTGTGTTGCTGTTGGTTCAAAATTAATTTGCGAGTTTAAAAGGAACCAGCAGACGAGAGAGTCGGGTAGAGAGGGAGTTGGCCATATTGGAAATATGGTGAAAGGTAACCGACTAATGGAATCGATCTTCATCGAGGATAAACTAGAGCGAAACGGCCTCAGATGAACAGAAAATAATGCGGTGACGCCCTACATTGCGAACTGGGAAGAAATATAGTAGATAAATAGTGAAATACTGAAAGACGCCATACTGAATTTGAATTTGTGTAGGCACTTTGTAATTTGTGCCAGAAAATTCCGCGGTCTCCGAGGCTTAATGGGGAAATGGCCTCAAAAATTGTAATGGAAATTTAAAATTAGGGGCCTGCTAAGAAAATTAAGGAGAAAAAATTGGCAGGACATTCAGGAATTCGAATGAATGGGGGAAGATAAAGGATGCATTTATCAGCACCCACAGCTAAGTAAACCGTCTTTTTTTTATTTAGAGCTAGCTGGCCAGTTTGGTTTCTATGTAGTAAGGCAGGTTGTGGGTGATCCATCTGCTTCAAGTGATCTCCAGAGGAAACTGGTAAGTAGTAATAATAACCATTTGTCTGCCATTATACTGTTTGAATATTTGTGTAACTCCTGCCCCCTCGTTCAACAACGTCAAACCCAACTCATACAGTCCACCTTAATTTCAGTTATACCAAAATTATTGGTTATGTTTCTTATGTAATATATAATTTTAGGTCCCTTTTTTGTGTAAGAATATAGTGAGGATTGTGGGTACGGAGGGGACGCTTTCCTGCGACCTATGGGTACGGAGGGGACGCTTTCCTGCGACCTAAAGTCTAAAAATTCCCGCATATCTCAGACGTTCAACAAAATGTAAGTAATGTATCTTAGTTACATTCTAGCCAAATTACTCATATGAACGTAAAAGTGAGGATCATGTAAGTAATTTATTTCTCACAGTATGTATAATTTATAGAAATGAAGAGGTACCCCGCCTATTATCCAATAACAACAGTGTTTAGAACATCAAAAAGAGATCTAGATTGGTTAAAGTAGTGTTTAATTCTACTGAGTGACATAGTTGTGTACTAAGGTTTAGTAAATTATCATATACTAGTGTATGTAACATTGTCAACTGGGCACCTGTAAGATTTCTTGTTATCAGAAACTCACGTGGGATTTAGCCCTGATACATATATTGGCTAGTCTTGCCAAATAAATTATTGTAACTTTCATTTCCCGAGGGAATGACACAAACAGGCTTCAAGGGGACAATATTGGGGGAAATAAAATATAATAAAATAGGAACGATGAAAGGTTCCTAGTGATTTTCTTTTTTAAAGTGTCAAACCATCAACTGACTTGACATATTTCCCACTACAGCCTCTTTATTCAGAAGGACCATCTCTGACGGATTTCATTCTCTCTGTGAAACTCCCGATCATAAGTTAAGTGAGGTAAGTGCAACTTATTGAGTTATTAAAGCAATTTTTTTCCCCCCCCTTCCCCAGGGGCTTCGTCAAGCCAATACACGTATAGTATTGGCCTCAGAAAATCCATGGTGAGCAGAATGTTGCCTTATAAAAAAGTCTCATTAAGTTGTATATGTATACATTCATCTAACTATTGTTGGTATTTTCAGTAAATTATATCACTAAGTATTAAGAGAATTTATTTGTGGAGAATTACGGACAGAGTACCATGCATGCAACAATTGCCAAATAATTTCTTTTGGCATTTTTTTTTAAATATACATAAGTGATGAACTTTGTGAACTATTTATGTAAGGGTTGAGGTCGATCCTCCGCCTGCTAAGCAAGAAAATTTTCTACTGTCGCATTAGGCTTCCACTTATAACCAGTAAAGTAAGAAGACGTGTGAACATAAACCTTTCAGAAGTTAATTCATTCTGAGAAAAGTTAAAACTGCCATTACTTGAAGAAAGAGTTACATTGGACATACCTTGGGGGAGAGGTTACATTGGACATTACCTTGAAAGAAGTTACACTGGACATTACTTTAAGCAAAAGTTTACATTGGACATCACCTTGAGGAGAGGTTAATGGACATTAAACCTGAAGAAATTACACGGACATTACTTGAGCGAGAAGTTTACATTGGACATCACCTTAGGGAGAGGTTACAGGGACATTAACCTTGAGAGAAGACATTACACACCTAGGGAAGGTTACAGGGACATACCTTGAAAGAAAGTTTACATTGGACATTACTTTGATGGAGAGGTTACATTAAACATCACCTTGAGTGAGAGGTTACATTAAACATCACCTTGAGGAGAGGTTATAGCGGAGGAAGACCTCAGTGCTGGGGGTGTCCACATGTCATTCTGCAGTCCATATACCTTTACCTGTGGGCTCCAACCAACGTTCTCATCATTATTTTGTTTTACCGTCCCTTCACCACCAGCGAAGGTAAAATATGGTTCGATATTTCACAAAGTGAGTTTTTTACATAATTATTTAGCCAATGTTTCTTGCAGTAAACAAAGACAAAAACACAGGAAGAGAAACATTTTAATTGTTATAAAATAATATTATTTCTTTGTCGGGGGGGTGAGACCTTTGCTGTGTTGCCAATTTGTTTCAAAGGGAGGGGCTGAATCTTAGCTGTTAACCTCACCTTTTAATGTTGTCGACCACCCTTACTAGTACCCTTTTAAATTTAACCCAATTACCTTTCTCTTAAAACTGTGTATAGAATTTGCGTTCATTTTACACAAAATCATTCTAAACGATGACTTAAAATTTTGAAATTTTGAATAAACATTTACTGCAAATAACTTTACTATTTCTAATAGAATAATAATGTACAAATTTCCAACACATCCTGAGGGTTTCATGACTAGTCCTCAACCAATATTTCACGTTGTCTTTAACACTCTTGCTCATCTAACAAGGTTATAGTTAAGTGGAAATCTAATTCACCATTTCCTTTTCTTGATATTTATATTTATGTTCACTTCTCTGAGACTAGCATAGTGGCAACACACTTATTTCCATTCCTACCCTGTTCTTGGACCCGGCCATCAGCATGACCGTGGCTTCAAGGCATCGCAGCCTGAAGTCACCAAGAACCAACTTGTGTCTATGGGACAATATTTGGATTTACAGTAACCACGAGAGCTCCCTGCTTAGTGTTACTCTTTTTATCTTGCATTTTTGCAGCTATATCATAGTAGTTAGGGTATTTTTTATTTTCAGAAGCATTATAGCAGATGGTATGTGCTTGTCCAAATACATAGAAACGAGTGTCAAAGAGAACAGAGAGTTATTCAACACTCGGCTATAACCTTTGTTTATTGCCTTGTGTTTATGTTAAAATGTAGCTGATTTCTTCAAGAAATTCTAATATTTGCATTAAAACACCTGTTTTATACTTTGCGGAGCTTGTTCAAGGATGCAGCACTCATGTGGTCATGTTCCAGAGCATATTGCCTATATCTTGCCATAATTACTTGAATTGAGCACCTCATACTACATTAACTACAATACCTACACCCATTATTAAAACCACATTCTTTTGTTAATTTTCCGTGAATTTCTTCTGTTTCTTATCTTCTGGACATTTCGGACTTGCAATGTTCCAATAGTTGAGACTGACTTTGAAAATTAAGTAATATTCCTGACAGTGGGAGCTATAACTTTACACACATAACACGCACGTAGGTGACTGAAGCTTATGGTCCGACTTGAGCCATTACCTAGCCACTTGGACCATTAACTAGTCACTTGGATCATTAACTAGCCACTTGGACCATTAACTAGTCACTTGGATCATTAACTAGCCACTCGGATCATTGACTATCACTTGGATTATTAACTAGTGAATTGGATCATTAACTAGTCACTTGCATCATTAATTAGTCACTTGTTAATGATCCAAGTCAGAAAGAAACGTGGTCATAAGTTTGTTTGGTACACCTGTGTTATCTGTGTATTGTTCCATTCCCGGTATTGTGCCTATTTATTCTTTAGTACCTATAACAATGAGTGA